TCCGGGTGGGCCTGTCATACGGATCAAAGGACATTTCACCGGGGAAGTCTAAAAGTGAACGTTTCCAAAAGTGTTTATACCACAACCAACATAATTTGAATTTCCACACATTATTATTAGTGTTTGGGGCTGGGTGGATGGTTAGCTGCCTGACTGGTAGGTGGGCAGGCACACAGGTAGGTGGGCAGGCACACAGGTAGGTGGGCAGGCACACAGGTAGGTGGGCAGGTTCAGGTGGGTGGGTGGCCAGGCAGACTGGATGAGTTGATGGCAGGCAGATGGGCTTGGTAGTTGGCAGATGAGTGGGTAGGCAGTTGGGTGGGTGTGTGGGCAGGCAGGCCAACAGGCGGCCGAAAAACCGAACGGTAGAACGGACCAGCAGAGGCAGGTCCCGAGGAGCCTGTGGAAGGTGGCCCCAAGTCCCAAGGGCATTACTTACAGGGCACCTAGGGAAGGCAGCCCTAGGCGCATTCAGCCCGAGTACTGAAGATAATTCCTGGCTCTCAGACCCACAGAAAACAAACACCACACGCAAAGCACAGTGCTGTAGCGACACTGGAGCCAGAGCACACGACCATCGCCTATAGCATCAGCCTCAAGAACTGGGGTGTGGGTAGCCAGCGTGAAGGGTCTGGGGATCCCCCTTCTCCCTCCCAGGGAGGGGGGAGCTGCGCAGACAGCGGCACGGCGACGTGTGACGTCACACTAGTTTACTCGTTTTCTGTTGGGGAGGTCTGTCCACTAGTTCAGCTTTTGGAAGCAATTTTAGCCAGAATAGGAGTTTGTTTTGGGGCGCTTACCTTTCTGGGTGCCTGTTCCAGTCGATGGCAGACATAGAGTGCTTCCAACCACACGGGGGTTTCTATAGGCCATTGCTCCCCTTGCCTCTGAGGGGGCCAGGTTCTGGCTCGTGGTCCCCGGTAGGCCCTAGAACTCCATACACATGACTGATGCCAAAGTCTGACATTAGCATATCAGCCTGGTAGTTTGTTTTATTGAGCCCCTACGGGAAGCCGTAGGGGCTCCCCCAGAAAATGGTGTTTCATTACATTCAATGTTGTTGTTTTTTCATTTGTCTTATAGCAAAAGGTTCATTCGGTGTTCGGCAGGTAGGCTGCTCCATGTTTCTTAAAAAAAAAAAAAAAAAAGTTGAAACAAATTGCAAAATGAACAAATGCCATAAAGGTTCGTTCAGTGTTTGTTGGGTACACTGCTCCATTATGACAATCTTTCTTTGTTTCAAATGTGTTCCATTTGTTTTGTATTTTTCATTTACGTCTCAATAATGGAGCAGCCTACCCTACAAACACTGAATGAACTTTTATGGCATTTATACATTTTGCAAATTGTTTCAACTGTTTTTTCTGGGGGAAGCCCCTACGGTTCCCCGGAGCTTACTAAGCTCATATGCTAATATCAGATTTTGGCATCAGTCATGTGTATGGAGTTCTAGGGCCTACCGGAGACCACGAGCCAGAACCTGGCCCCCTCAGAGGCAAGGGGAGCAATGGCCTATAGAAACCCCCGTGTGGTTGAAAGCATTCTATGTCTGCCGTCGACCGGGTTAGGCACCCAGAAAGGTAAGCGTTCCAAAACAAACCTTGATTCTGGTGAAAATTGCAACCAAAAGCCGAATGAATGGATAGAACTCCTCAAACAAAAATGAGCAAACTAGTATGACGTCACCTGTCGCCGCACCGTCGTCTGCACAGCTCCCACCGCCACAGGAGGGGGAAGGGGGAGCCCCAGATCCCCCACGCCGGCGTTGCACACACTAATTCTCGAGGCTGATGTTTTAGGCAGCGGTTGTGTACTCTGGCTCCAGACTTTTGCAGAGCTTTGCTTTGTGTGTGACGTCTGTTCTCCAGGGTTGCGAGAGCCAGGAGTTCCTCTTCAGTACTCTGGCTGCATGCGCCTAGGGTTACCTTCCCTAGGTGCCCTGTAAGTACTACCCTTGGTGCTTGGGGTTACCTTCTACAAGTTCCTTGGGTCCTGCCTCTGCTGGGCTGTTTCAATGCTCGGTTTTTTGGCCTCCCTTTGGGTGCTTGGGTGTTTTGTCTCCCCTAGTTTACCTTAGGGTAAGAGGCAGTTTTGCACTGGTGGGGCGCAGGGTGCTGTGCAGCTTGTTGTCACCAATCACAGCGGCCGGCTCTGTTGGGGTACGTTGTCCTCTTGCGGGGTTTTGTTTTTATTTTTATTTTTGCCTGGGTAGGGGGTTCTGCCCTACTTACCACTGGTGTTTGGCCTCATCCAGATGCTCGGTGGTGCCCCCTGCTAGGTCCCTGTGAGTGTACACGTCCCTGGGGTTCAGCTGTAGGCAGTTGTTTGGTAGTTTTGGGCGCCGGTTAGCCGTACCCTGCCTGGGCTTACCTGAGCATGAGTCCTCTTCAAGTAAACGCTCAGGATCCTGGGAATCCCCTAGGGGTCGTGTGGGTGTGATGGATGTGACCCCGGAGTCCCCCCTTGCTTCATGCGAGTTTGAGGGTTGCTCGTCCCCTTGTCTCAGGGTGACCCTCACTGTTTTTTGCCTCCGTCGTGCAGTCTGTTGTGTCGGTGAGACTTTCAACCCAGAGTCCTGTGCGTTTTGCTGGTGACTCAATTTACCCAATCTTTGGATGATCATCTTCGGGTACAGGCAGCGCAAGCGTTGCATGCTAGGTTTCGGTTGCTGCAACCCTCTAGGTTGGTTGCTCACCCAGATGCCCCGCAGCTGCCCCGTTTTGCTTATCGGGACCCGGACTTAGGGGAGAGGTCTCTTCGACCCTGGTTCAGTCTGCACCTCCTCATCCTTACCCTTCTGTTGTTCGTTCTGGTCCCCCCTCCCCTGCTTCCGGCCCCGAAACGTTTGAGGGTTTCGGGGTCGGGGCAGGGGCTAGTTGGTTTTGAGACTCGGGCAGCCTTGGGGAATGCCCCTTCTGGTGTGGCGACGGAGGCATTCGAGTCTCCTCCCCCAGCCAAAGCCTCCGGGACTGACCAGTGGGCCCCCTTCTTTCCGGCTTCGTCGGCTGCGCCGGCCTTGTCTGGTGGGGGCGACCTTGAGCACCTCATTGAGTGCTTGTTTGCTCCTGCCCTTCCCCAGGATGTTGGTGTCGTTCAGCTCCATGTGCCAATTCCCTCCCTTTCGGCGGCCCTGGTGGCTGAGGACTTGCGCGCCCAGAGCCTGTTGGCTTCAACCTTACGTTTCTTTTCCATCCTCGAGCTGTCTTCGGACTGGGTCTCGGAGGATGTGGGAGCGCTTGGGGCTGTAACTGGTTCTGGCGCCTTGGCCTCCGTGGCCCGCTCGTCGGCCGCCTTGTTGAAGCTTTTCTCGCCGATATTGCGGGATGCGGTTGCGCTGTTTTATGCTTCCCGACTCGTGTGTCGGCAGGCGGTGCTTGCCTCCTTTGTGGAATCTGCATGGGTCTTGGCTCTTTGGATGTCTTCGCCATTTAGTCCTCTCCTGTTTGAAGCTTTGGCTGTTGCGTAGTATATTCAGCCTGCTTAGGCTTCTTGCTGTCCTATGTCAGACTTGTTGGTTCTCCGGGGATCCCATGGTGGGCCTTCCCGGAAGGGTCATGCCTGGGCTCAGGGTTCCTCTCGCCGTGTTAGGCCACTGGTGTCGAGTTCGGGTTCAGCCCCTCCTTTGGACCCGCTTTCGTCTGGTCGGTGCGGTGTTCACTCTGTGCGATGTTCTGGGTCTCGTAAGGGGCACCGGCCCTTTCGCGGTTCACCCCATTGACTGAGGGGGGGAGGCTAGCACTGTTCGCTCGCGCCTGGTTCCACGATTCGTGGGCATTTCAGTTCGTTTCGCATGGCCTCCGGTGGCTTTGGGTGGCTCCACCTCCTTCAGGAGGTTCAGGGCTGGCAGGGCAGGCCTCTTTCCCTACGCTCTGTCGAGTCATCATGGAGTGGGTTCGCTTGGTGTGGTCGAAACGACGACGTCCCTCAGATGGGTTTCCCATCTATTTCCGGTCCCGAAACGGGACTGCGCGGACTTGAAGTTCATTCTGGACTTGTCCCGTCTGAACCTCTGGGTTCCATCGCCCCTCCTTTTGGAGGGGCAATGGAATTTGAATTTCCCTGAACCCAGGGAATTTGTTAATTTCCAATTTTGTAATTGGATGATGAAATACAGTTCTAAAGAAACTGTTTGTGACCTTTGTGAGATCAAAGCTGGGAAGGGTGCCCATATCTAAAGAAGCTTATCAATAAACAGGAAAAGGTGTAAAGGCATGCAACTAAATGGCTTCCAGAACTGAAATGCAAGAGCAACGTGGAGAGGTTAGAGGCATTAAATATGCCTAAGCTTGATGATAGAAGAAAAAGAGGCGATATGATCACTGCATACAAAATAGTAATAGAATTGACAAAATTGATAAAGAAGGTTTCTTGATACCTGGAACTTGAAGAACAAAAGGTCATAGAGTTGATCTAACTAAACAAAGCTGCAAAAAAATATTAGAAAATTCCCTTTTGCAAACAGAGTGGTAGACGGTTGGAATAAGTAAAGTTAGAAGGTTGTGGAGGTTAAAACCATCTGCAGTTTAAGAGAGATATTCTGTATATTCAAAGAGTTCTGGGCCCACCAAGAAATTGGCATTTCATTACACTCAACGCTTGTTTTATTATTCCACTCAAGATCTTGTATGTTAGCATGTTCCCTGTTTCTTCTTCCCTCTAAGGTTGCGAGGCTCAGTTCTCTCAATCTGTCCTCATAGCTGAAGCCTCTTTAATTCTGGTACTAATGTAGTTGCAAACCTCTCGCCTTGCTCAAGTTTCTGTTTATACTTGCCAAGGTGTGAGTTCCATGCTGGAGCTGGGAGTGCACCTGTGCCAACCAGGTGATTTCCATGTGTGTGAGCGTTGTCTGATCTCTTGTTACAAGATGTGGTCAATTTCTATAAGTACTGTAAATGTTTCAGATAACTATATTATTATAGTTGAAAAGCAATGCAGTGCCGACTCTGTGTTTAATTAAGTTCATAAATATTCGGTACGGTATATATCTTATGTTATTTCAGCTATGTATGATTCAACATTTCCTTGGTAACTCATCGGCCTTCTTATGCTGTCCTGCCTCTGAAAGAGCTTCACGTATAAAGGCCATGCCACCAGCTCAGTTAGACGTCATCCATAAATTACCGTCGTTCAGATCCTACGTTGAAAGCCGTCCTCCAAAGGAACAAACAGCTCTTCTCCTTGATGAAAAAACATCCAAGGTATGATGAACATTTATACTTTTCAGTGTGCAAAAAAAGAATTAATAGACTATATGCAGACTAGGAGTCACAATAACGTGGCTGAAATATGTTGACCAAACCACACACTAGAAAGTGAAGGGACGACGACGTTTCGGTCCGTCCTGGACCATTCTCAAGTCGATTGGCTAAGTGATCCTCAGTTAATGATGAATAGAAACTGTAACCCATCCCAGATAATTAAACTGCTTAACCATTTCCATCAAGTCACCATTCACATATATTTTACTGGCAATTTCCTTCTCTCTCCCACACAATAACTTTATTAAGTCTGTTAAGTCTCCCAGTGCAAACATTAATAAAATATATTTAATATTTAAAAATGCTGCAGTTTTGTTTTTTCCTTTATAAGTATTAGTTCTGATCAAAATTATTGTCTCTAGGCTGCAGTGCGCACGCTGATGAACGAACTGGACTCGTGGTATGGTCGTTTCTGCTGCCTTGTTAAAGTGGTCCATGCGCTCACAAGTTCACTACCAAGCACTCCTCTAGGTCGACAGGTAAGAATTGTGCATGACAATCATTGAATGTTCTTTAAAAATAATTCAGGCAAATTGTCAAAGGTAACTTTGAAAAGGTTCATTGTTGTTTTGTTTATTTTCCCTGTTCCCTGCCGACAACAAAGGAACTTGAGCTTGTAGCTGCATGACACCCCCATCCCAAGGAAAAGGAGGAATGTCCAATTTATTGAGGAGTACAAAGGAAGCACCCCGCAAAAACACCTGAAACACAGACAACACCTCATGCCAATGAAGCGGTCAGGTACGAGAGAAGCTGCGCCAGACCTCAAGCGATTGTCCGCCAGCCAGGACTCTTGACACCTCATAATGTATCCAATATTGGGAAGTGGTCCAAACTCATAAGAGGCAGGGTCCGTCTGAGAGGCATACACCAGGTCCCCCAGGAGGTACATAAATAATGCCTCCAGAGTCACTGTGGGAGGGATTCAACAGGACAGAAACCTCCAGAAAGACGATCCTGATGGAGCCAAAGGCACACTGAACTGAACCCTAGGTGGAGTGGCATCCAAATCATCTTAATTCAGGGTGGGAGGGGAAACAAAAACCCCACCCTCTGCAAATGGAGCCCCACCTGGTCAACCCTGGCCTTGGGCCGGGCTTGAGAAGTAGAAGAACTCTCAGAACTCTTATCAAGCAGGTACCTCAGAGGACACCAAGGGCCTCAAAGGGAAATCAAGGGCGAAACTCACTCATCCCACACCCCTAAAGCCACAGAGGAGGGCCCCAGGGCAGAGTCAGCATCCTAGCCTACCACTCAGGACAGATAAGTGGAATCCAAGAAATAGGCCTCAAAGGAATAAGGTGCTGGCTGAATAGGCCCAGTAGCCTCGGCAAGACTAGCCAACTCAACTGCCTCCACACCTGCATTGGAATAGGCAACTTCCAGAGCAGACCAAGCCACAACCCAAACTAAATCCTGCCCTGAACCCGAAACCCTCAGATGTAGGATTGGAAGCAAGGGGTGGGGGGGTGGATCAGAAGAAGGGTGAACCATGCACACTGAGGAAGGAAGAGGAGGTGCGGACAGAACCAAGGTCGAGATGACCAACGCCTCCAATTCCAGGTCTCTAAATACCAACCAGGGTAGTTTTGGGTTAGCTCTGGGGCATCTAACTGGGTACACAACCTAGACTGCTGAAACCTAGAAAATTTGTAAAGTTGTTGCTGCCTGAAAACCTGAATCTCATCAAGAGGGTCCGAAAGAGTAGTCACATGAGGAGAACAAACCTCACTAGACTCGGGGTCAAAGGTGTCAGCAACCCAACCAGCAGCATGGCGGAGGCAGGAGGAATGAATGTTGCCACGTGGCACGGAACATACAGCCTTCAAACTCTCATGAAGTGAGAGTAAGTTTGGGGAGAATATCCATAAGGAACACCAAACCTACAAGGGATTACCAGGGCCCGAAGGAATTGACCAAGAGGGACACGCAGGCACTGGGATGCTACGCGGGTCATAAAAAAATTCGCTGCTGAATCTATACCAACAGAACCATCACTTTTAGAAAGGTGTTGGTGTTTCACAATGCAAAAGTAAACTAGAACCAAGGATAGAAATGGCATAGTAGGCTGGATAATGCCAACCTCGGTGCACTAATATGTATCATGTGAATATCTAATGCACCACAAGCCAGCGAACACCGTGCCCTACTCGAGTAAAGACAGGAAATCTAAGCATCCTGACTCGCCCTGGGCAAGAACTACCACAAGCAAGGAAGTGATGCACAAACACCCCTGGGAAGAGAACCCTGAAGCACAAGGGCAGCACTAGGAACAGTGAAGATAATCATGTGCACATGCAGCTCCCAGCATTCTAAAGTCCAGGCTCATGCTACACTGAATGGCAAGAGACCACCATTTAGCTGAAGCAGGAGACTGGAGCCCAAGCAGTGAGAAGCGACCCGATACATTACACACATCAACATAGAGCTGAGGGCTCTATATATCACTGGCTGACCGCGCACACTATCACCTCCCTCCGACCAGTCGAGTGCGGAGGTGGAACAAATGAGCTGGCACTTGTCTTGAAACTTTTCAATTGTTTACATTGTTAGGGAGTTCTTCTGGTGGTGTACGAGACTACAGTATCTTCTTTAGCTAGCTGTGGTTTGTTTTTGTCTTGCTGACTTTCTGGGGTGCATTTGCCAGTGGTAGTATGAGTGAATAGATAAATGCCACTGCTCCCTGTTCCTCTGTGAGTGAGGGGAGGGGGGTGTAGGTTCTTGCTCTTGGTCCCAGGTAGGCCAGATAGAACTCTGCAGGTGATGTGATCCAGTAGATGGTACACTATCAGTGATTATAGCATCAGGTACTTACAAGAGGCACCAACCAGAAATGTTTTATTTCTTATATCAAATGCATTTCTGCAACAATTTGCAATGTGACAAAACATTTTGTTCTGGGTAGCAGTCTATCACTAGAAAGAAAATAAAAAATCTTTATTGAAACTACAGTACTTAATGTCTTTTATATATGTGTTGTATTTTGTATTTTTTAAACAGTTTGTATAACTTTACAGGTAAGAGAGGTCTTAACAACCTGCTTGTCACAAAATTTGGTTGAGACAGAAGAATTCAAGGAAGCTGACAAGATGCTAAGGCTTATATGGCTCGTGAAGAACTGCTTCCCATCCTAACAAATATATTGGATATATTACGAGGTAAGAAACTACACCTCAATGAATTAGCCAATGCCCAATGATATACTATAGGATAGTCTGCGCTTTGGTTCAGTGTAGCTTGAGAGACATGCAAGGACGGAATAAACACACACACTTGAATGGAGCATTCACTAAAACAGAGACCAACTGCCACTTAGCTGTAAGTGACTGGAAGAGTTCCCTTGGTGTAGCCTCCAATAATATTAATTTCAAATATTAAATTTGAAGACATTTTTCTGTGGGGAGCCCCTACGGCTCCCTGGAGCTTATCGGGCTAATGTACATTATATTAGACCGGGACATTAGCTAAGGAGTTCAGACCTACCAGGGACCAGCGCCAGAACCTGGCCCCTTCAGAGAGGTTTCAGGGAGCAATGGCCCTGGAAAACCCCCTTGTGGTTGGGGTTTTCCTTATCTGCCATCGACCGGGGTTAGGCACCCAGAAAGGTAGGCATAACAAAACAAACCCCACATGGTAAAAAACTAAAACAAAAAAACGAACAGAGAGGTAGAAACTCCCTACAATCCCAAGGAAACAAGCAAACATCACACGTTACTGCCGCGCCGATCATCCGCGATCATCCCTCATCACCCCCAGGAGGGGGAGGGGGAGCCCCGGACCTCACTGCGCCGGCTGCCTAGCATCAGTTCGTAAGCTAATGTCAACCGGGATAGACGCTTCTCTGGCCTCAGTTTCCTAGACGGTGTTTACCTTGTGTGGCGTTCACTGCCGTGTGTTGTGTTGTGCGGTGGCCAGGTGTTCCTCATCAGTATCAGGGCTGCATGCGCTTAGGAGCTTCCTTCCCTAAGCGCCCTGTGAGTACTGCCCCTGCGTGACAGGGTTATCTTCCCTGGGATGTTCGGGAACCATTCCCATAGAGGTTCTTACTGCTCGGCATTTGCCTCGCCCTTGGGGCCAGCTGGGGCTTGGGGCCCTTGTTTGGCCCTGGGTAGGGACTGGTATTGTGCTGGTTAGGGCGTCAAGGTGTTGTGCGACCTGCCACCTAAGCGGTGACCGGTTCCTGTTGCCTCTGGAGACAGTGTACTTTTGCGGGTTTTTTCTTATGTTTTTATTTTCATTTGCCTGGTGGGGGTCTGCCTAGTGTGGCTATAGTTCTACTGGTAGTGTTTGGTGGCCCTCTGCTAGGCCCCCGTGATTGTACACGTCGCAGGGGTTTTCAGTGTTGTCCTCTACCCCCTTGTTATTTTTGGGTTTTTAACCGGTTAGCAACACCTTGCCCGGGCTTCCCGTAGTTGTTACCCCTACGGGCCCTGGAAACCCCTGTCGGGGCTCGGTGGACCATTGAATGTGTCTTCCGGGTTCCAACCCGTCTTATACGGGATCGTTGGTTGCTGTGCCCTTGTCTCCGGGTGACAGTCGCCACTTTTACCTCCGTCATGTTGCCTGTTGGGTCACTGACACCTTGACCCGGAGTCTTGCGAGAGATATTCTCTGCTTGTTCTCCAGTACTCTCCTGATGTTATTACTGTTCAGAGTACAGGCGGCATCCGTGTTGCAAGCTAGGTTAGGTTGCTGCAACACGCTAGGTTGGTTCCCACTCGGATGCCCCGAGGCCGCCCCGTTTTGGTTAGGTGCTGTTCGCCCCTTTCCCTCCCTGTTCCCGGCTCCGGACTGTCTGCGGGTTTCGGGGTCGGGGCGGGATTTAGTTGGGGCTGAGACTCGGGCGGTTTCGGGGGCTGCCCCGTTCGGGTTGGGGACGGAGGTTTTCGAGCCTGTTCCTCCTGCCAAGGCTTCTAGGTCTTACCAGCGGCCCTTTCTTGCTGCCTTTCCCATGGACTCTTCCTTTTCTTTAAGGGCGGAGGACTTGGAGGACGGCTCTGCCCCGGGGCCTCTGTTGCGGGTTCCCGGGGCTGTGGGGGATGCCTGCTAGCAGTTCTGGGGCTGTTTGCCCCTGCCTGGGTTTTCTGCTTCTGGGCGGAGTTTTTCGCCCATCCAGTCTGCTTGCTTCCCACTTTTGCTGGCGTTTTTCGTGTGTTTTGCGTCGATCACAGCCCTCTGTTCTGGTGGCCATATTCTTCTGCCGGTTTCCCGGCGTGGCCACCAGGGCGGCGTTGCGGTTTGTTTACATGTGCCTGGGTGTGCGAGCGAGCGTCTTGGGTGAGTTTTTTTTCACCTTTTTCAGGGGTTTTATTCTCCTGTTGTCGTTTCTTTGCTTTTCTGGTGTTTTCTGCCAGTCTTCTGTTCCTCTGGGAATGTTTGAGTGTTGATTTTACACCAGGGTTTCCGTTATGTCTGTTTTGGGTCTGGGCCCTAGGGTTTGGGCTCAGTGTCCCTGTCTGTTATGCTTGCTCCCACACCTTGTCCCTCGGTTTTCGGTCTGTTTTGACCATTTCCCTGGGGGTTCTGTCTGAGGGCTGTGCTTTGCCTTTCTGTGGTGTATCTCTGCCAGCAAATGTGGTGGTTTGGGCTCCCCCTGGTTTAATTCTGGGTTCCTTTGGGTTCTTTGGTTTCGTTCTGGAGGTTTCTTCCTCTTGGGCCCCCCTTTGTGGGTTCAGGGGGCTTTGTTTCCTCGTATGTGACCCGGTTCTGCCTTCTGGGGTTCCGGGGTCTTCCTGTCTTGCAGACTGATCTTTTTGGATCTTGGCACATGTTGTGGTTGTGCTGGGACTTTGGGTTTTGTTGTCGAGGTGGGCCTTTTGATGCAGTTTTGTGCCTTCTTTGCCTGGCCGGTGTGGTGCTCTCTGCTCACTGGTCGGCGGCTTGTGATTTTCTTTTCACGTGTATGTGTACACATGTGCATGTGTACACTGTGTGTGTGTGTATGTATATGTGTATGTGTATTTGTATGTATATATGTGTATGTACATAATATATATGTATACATGTGTATATATACTTTTTCTTCGGGAAGGGACTCTATTCCCTTCGCTGTTGACGGGGAGCTGGGGAAGCAGCTTGCTCTGTTGGCTCTCGCATGGTCCCACAGTTAGTGGGCGCTTTTGGTTGTCTTTCCGGCCTCTGGTGGTGGCGGCGGCGGACGGCTTCTTCCCCTTTGGGGGGGGGGGGTTCAGGGCTGGCTGGGTGGGTTTCTTCCCCTGCGCTTCGTCATGTTATCTTAGTGGGTGCGTTGGACGTGGTCGATCCGCCCTTATCCTTCTGGGGTTCCCGTCTGCTCTATACAGACACGGGCCTGGTGAATCTGTGGTTCTTGTGGACTTCAGTCTGCGCCCTGGATTCTATGCCCTCATCGGAGGACTGTTGTCTCCGGTCCGGCTTCTGTTGGGGCCGGGTGCCTGGATGACAACATGTGTAAATAGTGTAATAAAAACAATAACAGTATGATGGGAGGAGGAACGTTGGCGAGTAAAATGTTGGAAGAGTGAGAGGGGGCTGGCTGGGTGTGGCAGCTCACACTTGCAGAGTTTTGGGTGTGTTGATGGTGAATGTATATAGTGTGTGATAGTGTATAGTGTGTAAATATGTTGTAAATATACATAAATGAACATGAAACATTGGTGTGAATAACAGTATGGTGGGAGGAGGAATGATGGCGAGTAAGGTGTTGGAGGAGTGAAGGAGGACTGGCTGGGTGTGGCAGCTCACACTCGTTGAGTTTTGAGTGTGTTGATGGTGAGTGTATATTGTGTGTGATAGTGTATAGTGTGTAAATATGTTGTAAAGATACATAAATGAAACATTGTATATATGAGCAATATATGTGGAGGCATTTTGTGGTGCGTGTAACACAGTGTCTTGGGAGAGTACGGATGTTCTACTGCCATAATATTGTCTACGTCTTCATTATACATAGCATTGGTAAGAAAAGCAAAACAAATGTATTTGGAAATGTATGCAAAAAATGAATTAAAAAATATATGTGGCAACTCGCGCATGTTGAAGCTGGTGCGTGACTGCCTCCGGGAGTCTGCGTCACGGGCAACCACCAAATCGTGATGTCACGCGCCATTTTCCGGACCCCATTGTGGCCAAAGTAATTACATTTTTTTTTTTTTTCTGGGGGGAGCCCCTACGGCTCCCCGGAGCTATCCATGGCTGATATGGATACCCTAACTATTTTGCATCAGTCGATGTGGGTGGAGTTCTAGGCCTACCGGGGACCACGAGCCAGAACCTGGCCCCCTCAGAGAGGCACGGGGAGCAATGGCCCATAGAAATGCACATGTGATTTGGAGCATTCTATATCTGCCATCGACCGGGACAGGCACCCAGAAAGGTAAGCGCCACAAAACAAACCCCTATTCTGGTTAACAACAAAAATCGACAAACGAGTGGACAGAACTCCCCAAGGAAAACGAACTAACAAGCATGACGTTACACAAGCCTCGCTGCATGTCTGCGCAGCTCCCCCCTCCCCGGGAGGGGGAAGGGGGAGCCCCAGACCCCCGCGCCGGCAATCCCCGCCTCAGTTCCACGGCTGATGGGATAATGCACGGTCGTGTGGCTCCAGCTCCAGTCTTGTTTCAGTGCTGTGACTTGTTTGCAGTGCTGCTCTTACGGTGGTCGTGTGAGCTGGGAGTAGTATTCTCAGGTACTCGGGTTGCATGTGCTTAGGGTCACCTTCCCTGAGTGCCCTGTAAGTACCGCCCTTGGGGCTTGGGGTTGCCTTCCACAAGTCACCTTGGGTCTACCTCTGTTGGCTTTTCGCTGCTTGGCGTTTGGCCGCCCCGAGGGTTTGGGGGTTTCACTCCCTTGTTTACCTTGGGGTAAGTGGTAGTTATCGCACTGGTGGGGCGCAGGGTACTGCGTAGCTAGTTTTCACCTATGACAGCGGCCGGCTCTGTTCCCTCTGGGTACGTTGTCCACTTGTGTGGTTTTTCTTTTATATTTGTTTTTGCCTGGTAGGGGGGTCTGCCTTGTGTCCCCCCCCCTTATATTAGGTTCGTTTGTGTGGTGGCACCCCCTGCTTTGCCCTCGCGAGTGGACACGTCCCGTGGGTTCAGCTTTAGCAGTTTGCTTGGTAGTTTGGGGCGCCGGTTAGCAGTGCCCTGCCTGGGATAACCCTTAGCAGACCCAGTCTAGGGGCCCTGGGAAACCCCCCGGGGGCTCTCGGGTCCGATAGTGGAGACCCTTGCGTCCCCTCTCGCTTTGTGCGAGTTGAGGGTTGCTCTGTCCCTTTGTCTCAGGGTGACTCTCCTTGTTTTTGCCTCCGTCATGCTGCCTGTTGGGTCGGTGACACATTCGACCCTTGAGTCCTGCGAGCTTTTGGAGCTTGTTCATGACTCCATTCACCCAGTCTGCTGATGAATTCCCGTGGGTGTAGGCAGCTCGCGCGTTGCAGGGTAGGATGTTGCAACGCGCTCTTGTTTGTCGCTTCCATGGACGCCCCAATGCTGCCCCGCTTGTGTAGGGACCCAGACTTGGGGGGTTTTGGTTGCTTCGGCCTTGGTTCCTTCCACGCCCCCCTTGTCGCCCCCCTTGTTTTTTCCCCTCCTGCTTCCGGACCCTACGCATCTGCCCGCTTCGGGGTTGGGGCGGGGTTAGAGGTTCTGAGACTTGGGCAGTTTCGGGGGTTGCCCCGTCCGGGGTGGCTGCGGAGGCATTCGAGTCTGTTCCTCCGGCCGATGCTCCGGGGTTTTGACCAGTGGGCCCCCTTCTCTTTCAGCTCTCTCGGCTGCCCCGGCTTTTTCTTGTGAGGCCGGGGCTTTGGAGGTCGACTCGGCCCCAGGGCCTGGTGCAGAGGCTCCTGGGGTTGGGGAGGAGCGGCCTTGGGGGCCTTGGGCTCCATTGTGCCCTGCCTGGATTTGGTCCTTCTGAGCGGGGCTTACTGTTACGAGGAGTGGGGTTCCTTCGATTGCCCCGGGTTCGGTTCTGTGCCCTGTGGTTTCTTCGGTTCCGTCTTCAGGAGGTTTTCGGCTAACCGCATCCGTCCCTGTGGCTCAGTTGGGTGCTCGGTTTCCGCCTGTGTCCCCTTGTGTGCCACTCGTGTACGATTTATCTATCTTCTCTGTCGCTTCCTCGGGGAGTGTGGTGACGTTTTGCTGCGGTTTTGGTACTGCAGCTGCGTGTCGGGGTTGGTTGTGGTGTTATGTTCGGCCCTTCCGTGCTCCCTCTGGGGCTCTCCTTCCTTGCCGGTCTTGCTGTGCCGGGCCTGGTTTTTCCATGTTCCTTGGTTTCACTGTCTTGTCCTCGCCTCATTGTGCTGGCTGGGGATGAGCTTGGGGTCTTCGTCTTGCCCCTCGCCTATCCTCCGGTTTCGGTTCATGTTTCAGAGCCTAGTGGGCTCCCTTCCTTCGTGTTTTTCACAGCTGCCCCGGGGTTTTTCTTGACGCTGGGGCTTTGAGGGGACAGCTCGGCCCCTGGGCCTGCAGGGTGGGTTCCCGGGGCTGGGGTGGGGCTCACGTGAGAGGCCTCAGGCCCCGTTGGTCCCCGCCGGGGTGTTTCTAACCCTCTGGGGGGGACTTGCAGTTTTGTGGTGTGGGGTTTTCCGTTCCCCCTCTCCGCACGTGCTTTGTGGGCATCGGCCCCTCCCTGGGCTTGGTTTCCTTGTCCGTTGTACCCGTTGTTTCCGTCCTGTCGGTGGGTGCTTTTCTACGATCTTCGCCCCTTTTTCCGGGATGGGCCTTCTTCCGTCATGTCCCCCTCATCTTGGGGTTTCTGCATGACTTTTGGTCTCGGGTGCGACGGGGTTTTGGGGCCTTCGTCCTTTGTGTTTGCTTCTTTTTGTTCTCGAAGGTTCGGGACTGTTTTGCTCCTTCCCGTTTTCTGATGCGTCTGTCGTCATTCGGTTGAGCTTCCCTCCGGTCCTTTCTAGGGCTTGTGGGTCCTCTTCCTAGCAGCTTCTGGGTGTTGGCCCTTTTTGTTCTTTTGTGAATATCTCTTCTCTTCACACTGTCTCGGCGCTACTAGTTTTCCTGGGAGCGATTTTGCTTCTCCTAATGAGTCTTTAAGCTCCTGCCCTTCTGCGGGATGTTGGTGCGGGGCGGCTCCTTATGCGAGTTCCTTCCCTGCCAGCTGCACTTGTGGAGGTGGTCTTGCACACTTGTGGCATTTTCGTTTTGGTCCTGCGTTTTCTTTTCCCTCCTGGGGCTGTCATAGGATTGGCTTGCGGAGGATGTAGAGGCGCTTGGGGCCGTTCCTGGGTCTGGCACCTTGGTTTCTGCTGCTAGCTTTCGGTATCGATATTCCTTCTGCGCCGTTTCGCAGGTTGTATCGTGCGTTGTTACACCTCCGGCCTGCTTATGCACTGCCTGTGTCGTCCTGGTCTTTGGACAGGGTGCTCTCCTGTTTTTCTTCTCCTTGGTGGTTGTGGCTCCTTGGGGTCAGGTTTGCTTTGCCTCGGTTTTCTTTTTGTGTTGGCATTCGCCTCTGGGGGCCGTGTGGCAGAGCTTCTTGCTCTTCTCAGGCGCAGTGGTTTTTGGCTCCTATGGTCGTGATCATAGGTTTTCTTCGTCTGCGGCCGTTCTCCCTTTTTTTCTGGCGAATGATATACCTTGGGTTGTTGTCTCGACTTCATGTTGTGGAGTGATTCTCCGACCGCCTCCCGGGTATGTCCCCTTGTTTTTTAGGTAGTCTTTGGTGAGGTAGCTCCGGGGAGCCGTAGGGGCTCCCCCCAGAAAACCAGCGTTGAATGTAATGAAACGCCATTTTCTGGGTGAGTCCCGGAGGCTCCCCGGCACCCTCCCGCCCTCCGGTCGGCGGGGTTTTTTCACGGTTTTGATATCCAGCCTCAGAACTGGGGCGGGGATCGCCGGCGCGGGGGTCTGGGGCTCCCCCTTCCCCCTCCCGGGGAGGGGGGAGCTGCGCAGACATGCGGCGCGGCTCGCGTGACGTCATGCTTGTTAGTTCGTTTTCCTGGGGGAGTTCTGTCCACTCGTTTGTCGATTTTTGTTGTTTAACCAGAATAGGGGTTTGTTTTGTGGCGCTTACCTTTCTGGGTGCCTGTCCCGGTCGATGGCAGATATAGAATGCTCCAAATCACATGTGCATTTCTATGGGCCATTGCTCCCTGTGCCTCTCTGAGGGGGCCAGGTTCTGGCTCGTGGTCCCCGGTAGGCCTAGAACTCCACCCACATCGACTGATGCAAAATAGTTAGGGTATCCATATCAGCCATGGATAGCTCCGGGGAGCCTCCGGGACTCACCCAGAAAATGGCGTTTCATTACATTCAACGCTGGGATTCTGTCTGTTTGGCAGATATTCATACATATTTATGCATTTTTTCAGTGATATTGCTTGTTTATTCCACCCAAATTTCAGAGAGACTGGAGCATCCCAGCCCTCTTCCCTCCCACAACGACGACCTTATATATTAGCTGCAAGTGGCTCGTTCTCTTGTCTACTGAAAGCCACATTTTTAAATGAGACGTCATGTATCCTGTGCCTCACTTAAAGACTGATTTTCACGTTTACATTTTCTCCTCCACAGAATGGCTACACAAAGATGAAGAATTATCAGTGTTATATGACGAATTAGCTGTAATTTTAGGACGCTTGAATAGTTTGGACCAGCTGGACCAAGTAATTGATAACTCGCCATCTGAGGAACTGCCCCTCAACATCCAATCATCTGACAGATTTCAGTTAAAGGAGGTTAGTCTCAGAATAGTGTAGAGTGGCTTGTGTTTTGTGACAAGGTTTTCAGTTGCCAGTCGCTGGTCTTAATTTGTATCAATAGGAATGTCTTGTGATCAGGTCTTAAATGTTGTGCATTTTGTGTAAAAACTAGTGACCCAGTTAATATACTCAAGATAGGTCAATAGCTTATCACATCAGAGCCAGAACCTTGAGGCACCACTTTGCAGTGTCGGGTTTAAATTCAGGGAGCCAAGCTCAAGCCAAAAGGAAGACCTCTGAAGTGTTAACTTCTTTGGTCCACACTTCAAAGCCTTGGGAAGTTTTGGAGCCCCAAAACACTCCATTATTGGAACATTCCACTATGCTTCCTGATGGTGAACAATAACCACCCACGAATTTATTATATTTTATTTCTAAATCTGACTTTATTTTTGTCTGTTTCCATTAGGCAATGCTTGTTGTCCTAAATATTCTAGTGCCTATTTGTTGTATTTCTTCATTTTCATATTGTTTTTTGTAAACTGTAAATATGTAAGCCTTTGAGTATTGTAATGCATATTTAATTATTTATTAACTACTGCACTGTGCTGGCCGACAATACTCTCGGCTGGCGGCGCGCAGGCTGAGAAAATACGATTTTAAGATATCATACAAATCAAAACCCGTGCGCGGCAGGTTGGGTACGAAATGGACTCCTGGGACCTCCTGTGTGAGGCAGCCATCTTGAAAAAAATCCGAGAATGCCCTAGGGCTGCTAGTTGGCTCAGTTCTGAGTGAGCAACCATGAGTGGTGCACGCGCCTCTGGCTCCTATTTCCTTGTCAGACCCGGTGTTGAAAGATCATTCTCTGTTGGTGAAATTCAGACCTTAATGTTTGAAGAACATAAGGATCATGATATTGATGAAGCTAAGCACAATAAGGACCTAACACAAGGGTCGGATACAAGTGATGTAGTACCGATGCGGACGATACAGCGAGCGTATCCAGTAGTGGCTGAGCGCCACCCTTGCTCATGTGAGTCATCTCCAATTTTTATAGATAATATTATAGATGAATCGTTTCCTGGGTTCAATGATGATGCTTCTGATACAAGGAGCATAGATGAACAGAGTTAGCAGCTTCCACGGTGATGTTTCTTGTCAGTGGTGGTGGTAGCAATACATGGAGCACGGGTGAATTTGCAAGGGAGGACTGTGATAATTTTGTAACACACAAACCACAATTTGATGATTCTGATGTTGGTGTTGCACCCACTTTCCCATATACTGTACTGGGGAAGATATGAGTGTTACCAGGACAGATATGAGATACCAGGACAGAGTTTTGTCATTGAGCATTTCCTAGATCTTTTCAAGACTACCTTACACTTCACAAGCTTGGCTACATACCACCTACGGGAACCAAAGCCAAGGGTGTACGTGAGTGCATTGTTTGCAAGCACATAGAACAAAGAAACGGGAAGCGAAAATCTGTGTACCTGGTGCATCGAGTGCAAAGTTGCTCTGTGTACCATGGACTGCTTCTTTGATTATCATTCACTTCCGAAGTACTGAGTGTGTAGTACAGTGTGTGAAAGTGCACATATTCTAAATATATTTAATTTTGAACAGGTAATATTGTGACAATGAATATTTGTTGTGGACCCGTTAGTGAGACATGTATCACAGTTCCTTGGAACATTATAAACGTTCTACTGTACCATGTATATATATTGTAAAGGACACAAATGTGCATCATATACTACAAATAAAACTAAGTATAAAGCATTGAAAATACATTGAAAAAATTATTGTAAATATATTTGTGGCAACTTGTGAGTCATAAATGGCCCATGCGACCGCCTGTGGGAGCTTCCTGCGCGAACGCACAGACCCTGATGATGTTTCATTGCATTTTCTTCATGTGCCACAGTCAAAGTAAGCTTTTTCTGGGGGAGCCCCGTCGGCTCCCAGGAGCTATCCAGGCTAAATGGATATGTATAACTTTCTGGCATCAGTCAAAGTGCTAGGAGTTCTTGCCTACCGGTGACCACGGGCCAGAACCTGGCCTCCTCAGAGAGGCACGAGGAGCAATGGCCTATAGAAACCCCCTTGTGGTTGGGAGCATTCTATGTCATCGACTGGGATAGGCACCCAGAAAGGTAGGCACCCCAAAACAAACCCCTATTCTGGTGAAAATGTTGCTACCAAAAGCCGAACGAGTGGACAGAACTCCCCAAACAAAATTATCAAACTAGCATGACGTCATCACGTCGCCGCGCCACCGTCTGTGCAACCCCCCCCCCCCCTCCCCGGGAGGAGGAAGGGGGAGCCCCAGACCCTCCGCACCAGCAATCCAACTGGCAGTTCTTGGCTGATGGAATTACTGGTCGGTTGAGTGCCTCTGGCTCCAGTCTTTGTTTCAGTTCTGTGCATTGTGGTGTGGACTGTCTCTACTGGTGGGGTGTGAGCCAGGAGTAAGATTCCACGGTACTCGGGCTGCATGCGCCTAGGGCTATCTTCCCTAGGTGCCCTGTAAGTACTGCCCTTGGGGCTTGGGGCCACCTTCCACAAGTCACCTTGGGTTCTACCTCTGCTGTGTCCTTTACTGCTCGGTACTGGGCCGCCCTTGGAGTCGGCTGGGGTTTTGTTGCCCTGGTTTGTATCTGGGTAGGTGGTAGTTTTCGTCACTGGTAGGGGCGCGGGGTACCGTACAGCTAATTTTCACCAATAACAGCGGCCGGCTCTGTTCCGCCTGGGTACGTTGTCCTCTTGCGAGGTTTTTCTTTTGTTTTTATTTTTGCCTGGTGGGGGGGGGGTCTGCCTTTATGGTCCCCCTTTACTGTTCTAGGTGTTTTTATTTCTATATTTTCTGTTGCTGGTACTCCCCGCTTGGCCCCCGTGAGTGGACACGTCCCAGGGGTTCTGCTTTTAGAAGTTTGTTTGGTAGACTTGGGCGCCGGTTTGCGGTACTCTGCCTAGGCTTCCCTTAGCGTGTACCCAAGGCTAAGGGCCCTGGGAAACCCCACGGGGGCTCCGTGGTCCTATAGGTGTGTCCCTGGAGTCCCCCCTCGTGTCCTGCGAGTTTGACGGTTGCTCTGTCCCCTTGTCTCAGGGTGACACTCACAGGTTGTGCTTCTGCCATGCTGCCTGTTGGGTCTTTGTTTCTTATGACCCGGAGTCGTGCAACAGGTGTTGTCAGTACGTGCTCTCGTTCACCCAGGCCACTGGTCATGATAATCGGGTGCAGGCGGCTGCTGCGTTGCTTGCTGGGTGTAGGTTGCTGCAACGCTCTTGGTTGTTTGTGGCCCCGGATGCCCCGAGGCTGCCCCGTTTTGATTGTTGGGGTCCGGACTTGGGGGTGGGGGTCGCTTCGGCTCTGGCTCCTTCCGCTCCTTGTCCTTCCCCTTCTGTTCTGCACACTGAGTGAGTGACCACAGTGTATTGATATTTGCGTATCTGGTAGAAGTAGGGATAACCTATCCAAGGATGGGATTGGAAGAAAAAAGACTAAATTACCGAAGAGGAAAATATGACGAGATGAGGAACTTCCTAATGGGAATACCATGGGAAACAGAATTCAGAGAAAAGACTGTACAGAATATGATGGATTATGTCACTCAGAAGTGTCAGGAGGCTGCAGACAGGTTTATCCCAGTCCAAAAAGTGAAAAATGAAAAGCAACAGAAGAATCCGTGGTTCAACCAGGAATGTGCAGCAGCATAGCAATTGAGTAAAAGAACATGGCAAAACTACAGGAACAACAGAACACCAGAGAGCAGGTAGAGATACCAGAGGGCCAGAAATGAGTACATCAGAGTGAGGAGAGAAGCAAAGAGGCAGTACGAAAAGGACGTCGCGAGTAAAGCTACGACCCAACCAAAACTGCTCCACAGCCACATCAGGAGGAAAACAGCAGTGAAGGAACAAGTGATGAAACTGAGAAAAGGGGAGATCAGATACACAGAGAATGATAAAGAGGTGTGTGAAGAACTCAACAAGAGATTCCAGGAAGTCTTCACAATAGAACAAGGAGAGGTCCCTGCACTAAATGAGGAGGCAAACCGAACAACCTTGGAGGAAATTTACCTCACCAGTGATGAGGTCAAAAGGAATCTGTTGGAGCTGAATGTGTCAAAGGCTGTTGGGCCTGACAGAATCTCACCGTGGATTCTAAAAGAAGGTGCAGAAGCACTAAGTGTGCCACTCTCTATGGTGTATAACAGGTCACTGGAAACGGGAGACCTTCCGGAAAGCTGGAAGACAGCTAATGTAGTCCCAATTTACAAAAAGGGTGACAGGCAAGAGGCACTGAACTACAGGCCAGTTTCCCTAACTTGTATACCATGCAAGGTGATGGAGAAGATCGTGAGGAAAAGGCTTTTAGAGCATCTGGAGGGAAACAGCTTTGTAACACACCACCAGCATGGGTTCAGAGATGGTAAATCGTGCCTCACAGGCCTAATAGAATTCTATGACCAAGCAACACAAATTAGGCAGGAAAGAGAAAGGTGGGCAAACTGCATTTTCTTGGACTGTCAGAAAGCCTTTGACACAGTACCTCACAAAAGGCTGTTACAAAAGTTGGAGCAGCAGGCAGGAGTAAAAGGTAAGGTGCTCCAGTAGATAAGGGAGTATCTAAGCAATAGGAAACAATAGGGGGGAGGCATCAGAGTGGCGAGATGTCACCAACGGGGTTCCACAGGGCTCTGTACTCGGATCCATCCTGTTTCTAGTATATGTAAACGACCTTCCAGAGGGTATAGACTCTTTCCTCTCAATGTTTGCTGACGATGCAAAAATTATGAGAAGAATCAAAACAGATGAAGATAGACAGAGACTACAGGACGACCTGGACAAACTGGAGGAATGGTCTAGAAAATGGCTGCTAAAGTTCAACTCAGGAAAGTGTAAAGCATTGAAATTAGGTGAAGGGAGCAGAAGGCTGAACACAAGGTACTATTTGGGAGGTGAAATCCTGCAAGAGTCAAATAGAGAGAAAGATCTGGGGGTCGATATCACACCGAACCTGTCCC